AAGCTTTTACTTGTTGTTAAACAACTTTATTTATTCAATTTATTTCAGCCATTTTTTGCAGCATTTTTATGCTAGTAACAGATGCCTAGCTTATCTTAATTTGTAATAATAATAATAAAAAAAGTTATATAACTATCACTTCACTCTGGTTATGTAAATTGTTGGGTTTCCTCAAGTTTGCTGGATTTACATATTAAAATAACACTCCTATGAAATTATCTAAACTTTCTTTCTACGAAATAAAAATTAATCGAAATGGCAGGTGAAAACAAATTTCAAATATATTGCTTTTTTTCTATCTACACAACCATTTATCATTTTAAAATGTTAAATACAATTAGATAACTAATTTTATTTTCAGTTAAAGTATAGTTTTATGAAGAACCAATTAACAAGATGCTCCACCCTTCAATGATAGTGTACACAAATATTAAAGGTGTACAATACATTTATCCAATCAAATCACAACAGTTTGTTTCATAGTATATCATACAGTAAAAAACAAGTCGTTTTGGGGAATGATTTTATGAAAGAACTGTGTCAGCAACAGGGACATAATCATTTACCTTAACTGAATGGCCCTACTACTACTACTACACATCTGTTGAACCTTTTTTCTTTCAGGCAGGAAGTCTAAGAGAGACTTGTAGTATTTTCTTATGCTTTTATAAGGTGTGTTGACTTGATTGAGAAACTATTCCCTGAATAATATGACATGTTTGACAATATATATTCATATATATTTCAACTTTTGCTAAGGATCAAGTTTTCCAACAAAGAAAGTTAATATTATGCTATTTAATGAATGACTGATGGTGTTAACATAGGTTAACGTATTGAAAATGATGAATTACAGAAAGGATGATTTAAGTCATGAAAGAAATTGCAGTAACAATGGAAAGTGCTCCACCTTCAATAAATAAAAAAGGGTGTAAAAATTCAATTTATTAAGTCAATCACTGTCTACATGTGATTAGTACTGTGTGTGTCATTAGACACAATAACACTTGCAGTGCCTGTACATTGTGCTAACCTGGTGCTATACACTGTTGTTGAATCTTGACCTGTTCTTGGATAAAGGGGTACTGAAACTTCTCCATAATGCTGGATTACTTTGTATAGGATACTGTTATATTTGTAGCATGTTCAAAGTATGTTCAGTAAGGCTCTGATCAGGAGATACTGCTAGCCAATCCATCTTCTGAAATTACTTCATGTTCAGGATAAGCAGTTTTGATTCTTGCTCTTTGTGAGCAGAGCACTGATGTCAACCAGAGATGAAGTATGGCTCAACTGAACCAGATGTAGAATTTTGTTTAGTACCTAACTCCAGTGGTGTGTTCTGTTCTGGATGACATGGAGGCCCATCTTAGTGATGCTCACACCATGACAGAACATCCTTGTATTTATGTTGTACAATATACTGCAACAACAAATATTCAATGTGTTTCTTGCCATAGCATGTTGCAAAACATTTACCAGTTTCCACACCCTGGTGTGCCTGTCAATATATATATATATATATATGCAAGACAGATTCTGGTATCCAATCACCTAGTTCCATCTTAAACATTCCTGCATGTGTCTCAGTGTCAGAAGTATGTGGATAAAAGCTGTTCTAGACATCTCACCAGCCATCTGCAAGCTGTCTGTGTAAAAATTCTACACCTGTGTTCTGCAATTCATATTGTCTTTTTGACCCTGCCACTACTTTCATAATTGTTTGTTGTATGAGACACTTTCAAAAATTGAGTGACATGATACTGAGTCCATTTTCAAACATTCATATATCCACTTCTGAAAGTGCTCGGATGCAACTGTTCATTTAATCATTACTTACATTTGTCTTTATAATCATGCACTCTCACACATACCAAAATTTATGGGTATACAAACCTGCTTTCAAAATTTGAAATCCAGGGTCATGTTTATATTACAGATTTATGGAGTTCAACATAACATGGTTGTTACATACTGCTGATGAAAATAATAACTAAGCATTAATATCACTTGTAGACAAGTATTTACTGGAACCGACTGATTAATCCTTGACAAAAATTGATTAGTATAATGCCCTTTATTATCAGTTGTTACAGTGTACTTACATTTGAGTTAAATATGCTAGTGTGTGTGTCTATATATTTATAAAAATAACACTTGAGCTTCACATGTTGATATATTCTTTATTAAAAATCTTTGGAAACAGTACTGAGTATATTAATGTATTTACATATTAGGTAAAGGCACTGATAAACACTGCAGCAAATAAACTTTAAGTTAGCATGGATGACAGCAGCATGATAGCAATAACAATGTAAATAAGTGATTTGTTAGCACCAGAGAATTATCAATATATGGCTGCTGTTTTGTACAATTATATCTGGAAACTATATATACTTGTATATGGGTGGGTGGGTGTGTATATATATATATATATATATATATATATA